ACAAATTTCATGTTTTAACTCGTCGCTAAAGGGTGGCGCTGTTATCGCATTTAGCTCGGTCTCGGTGGACGCCAGCGGCCTGGGTTTCTAGGGCGAGTTTCCCAACTGAGTGTTTTAGTAACATTGGCCACGACGTAGTTACGAGCCCAAATTGTGGACGTTTCTACGAACACCTTCACCTGATCATTTTCTTTCTTCGGCCAGGTTTGGCGGCGGAACGACTGAAAGGATGCCGGGGGAGGATTACGGATGTCTACGGCTGTACTGAACGTGCCCGCTGATACTAGTTTCCATAAAAATGAACTAATTAAGAGACTAATACATGGAGGCACAGTCAAAAAGCAGGTCGACGACCTGATTAACAATATGCTGAATTTCAGAGAAAAGATGAACTCGCAAGCTTAGTGCTCACTGTTCGGTTTTCCGGGGCACCAATGTTTTTTTAAGAATTAGCGACCGGGAAATCCTCCTGTAATGACGACGGAGTGAAAGAAAGAAGCGATATTGTCTCCCTCTGTTTTTTTTAAAGAAACGAAGTACTTGAGCGATGCTTTAATGATTATTCCTAGGCCCAGTAGGAAATATTTTCGACTGTCAGCCCCGGTAAAGTAAATGCTGATTCATGTGAACTATTCGTTGTACGGACATTTTATTAAAACGGATGGCGAATATCAGATAAGAGACAGACTCGTTAATTGACGTCTGACGTCTCTTTTCCGTATAATTAGCGAAATAAAATTAAATGGCGCAAGAGAATTGACGTCCAGCAGGCTTGGATCGAGTAGACAGATCTTTATTGGTTTGAACAGGCGCGCTTTTTACTTTCAGCGGCGTCGAGAGTAAATCCGCCATCGACAGCGCTGCACTCGAGTGATTTCCCTGCAGACGGCTTCTTTTCGGCGACACATATTGCGTGCCGCAGGCGCTTTTGTCACGCACTCACAAGCTCTCTTTGACACATTTCTCACCAGGGGAGCCCTACCATTTGTGTATGATCTGTAATGGTCTGAAATGAATGACGTGGAAGCTCGCTGTAGCACTCGACAACAGCACGAAAACACCAAATAGCATGCCGGAAAGAGTAACTCCTGTTCATTCATAATCTAGTTTGTTTGGGCAGCTAAAAAACAACAGGGTCTCTTATGTTATCCCCAAGATGACTTGAAGGTGAAAGCCCAAGCTCCGACGCACTAAAGACAGACACATCATTTATGGACGTGACGGTACCGATACTGCGTCGGACTACTGAAGAAATGTCGCTGGTTCGACGCCAGCCGAGGGACAGGAGCGAAACGTAGCGCCATCTCGTGGTCCAGCCCCGAACTGTAGGTTATCGTGCCTTTCGTGTGACCGGTTTTTGTACCTTTCGTGTTGCTGTCGAGTTTTCGCACAAGGACTTTGAAGGTCGACAGAACGATGAGACATATAAGGCTTTCGCCTTATTAATCACGGTAAAACACAATGAAAAAAATACACCTTCGCTAAGGCACGAAGGGGAGAGAGGAGCGACAATTTGAAGCCGCCTTATGGCGGCCGCGTCACGTAATTCTAAGATGGCAGAGCCATCTTGGATATTTGTAATTAATATATTTATAAATAAAAAAATAGACCAATTCAGTTACCCGCTAAATTTAGCGAGAAAATTCACGTCCTGTGACTTGGACACCAATTCATATTTCCCTGCTAAATGTAGTGGCGAAAATCGACGTCACGTGGCTTGACGTCAAATGCAAAAAAGAACCAAACACCTGGAGAAAAAAAACTTCAGCCCTTTTTCCCTCTGCTCTTCTCTCTCTCTCTCTTTCTTGCACGCTTCCACGGGGGAAGCCCGGAGCGCGCTCGTTTCATGAGGCAGTGCGCCGCTGTATGTCGGAACATATGATGTTTTAGCCATGCCGCAGGGAGTAACACGGAGGCATTCGAGGAAGAGGTTTGGCTGGCACTGGTTCCCAATCAGTGAGTAGACGACCGCCGCGTCTGCGTTCGGGTGGCAGTCGGCCTGTCGACTTCCGTCCCTGCCACCTAACCGAATATAGTTAGGTGCCAGCGATATGACACATTATGGGTTTAAAGTAACGCAACAGTAACCTGCGTTACTTTTGATCGGTAAAGGTAGTAAGAACACGTTCCTTTTTGGGGGATTACCGTAGATTGGCAACGCGTTTTTTTTTTTTTGGGGGGGGGGGGGGCGGGGGGGGGGGAAGGAACGACTAACGTATTTCGTTACTTTTTCTTTTTTTGGTAACATTTCCAAGTCACGTTTTTCAAAGTCAAGAAGTGAACGGAGTATCACGTGCGCTTTCCGTCCCACAGCGCACCAATCTGGCTTTCCCGACTCGGACTCTGGTCATCCCTACTCTCTTCGTGTTCCACGCTCCCCGTTGTCCGTGCTGTCCGTACTTTTGCTCTTTGAAATTTCCGTTTTTCCAGGTCGATGCACGAACCCGAACATGAGGTGTTGTCGTCTTCCCGGCGGCGCACCGGTGGGGGCCTCCATACTTCTGAATCACCGTGATCCTCGGTTGTCGCTCCTCACGGTATTCTCCGTCATACTTGTTATTTCTGCTCTCGCTCCTCGGTTCCCAACCTTCAGCTCTTTCAGCTCGATCCGGGAGATCGCAGCACCACGTGATCCCTTCATTTTTCCCTTCCTCCCCCCCCCTCCCACTCGGCGCTCCACCAATGATGCTCTCCCTACTCACGTCCTCCCGCGATTCCCGGTTATCCCTGCTCTGGCTTTTCTCCGTGATACTCCCGTTGTCCGGTGCTCTCTCTCTCTCTACGGAACCTACCATTGAGGTCGATCTGGGGAATTGGAGCACCACGTGACTTCTCTTCATCGTCTCGCCTCCGGTGCACCTCCAATGCCGGTCTCCCTACATCGTCCTCACGCGATCCCCAGTTGTCCCTACTCTCAGTTTGCTAACAGGGATTTAGACTCACATGCACTGGCACCGTGGGAGTTTTCTCCCGAATGCATCGCACTCACGGAGTGCCGCACGGAGAACTGGCCCCGAACGAACTTGCCAAATGCACAGATTGCAGACTGATGCTGTCGCCATCTATGTTGTAGTAAGAGTACTGACCTCAACCGAAACTAGTGCCTTTCTGTTCGACTTGACGAGTGGGAATGCGAGAGTGAAGTCGTTGCCAAAGTTTACCAGCAAGCGTTGGTCACTGTAGCGTGTAGTTTAGATTTGCGATGTCTTCAGGCAATTCGGCTGTCGTAGATATATTTGCAGACGGCGAAAGTTTACACAACCAGGTGACCATACAAAACAGTTGGTTCCGATCTTTAAATATTCGTAATCGTTTACACTGGTGAAAACGGATGATACTGTCAACGAAGAAGCTTGATGTGTTTAAGCATAGTATTATCCGTGAACCACCGAAACGCCGTGGTTTAAAGCTGGTCTGTTGGAATAACCGACAGTTCGTTTCGTGGGACTTTTGATTTAGATCGCCTTATATGGGTGGATCAGATTTTAACCCTTTTGAGGTCGACGAAGACTAGTGCTTTCTCAAACAAAATACGGGGAGAGGGAGGGGGGGGGGGGTAAGTCAGTTGACGTAGGTAAATGTTAGACATGATGATTTTGCCCAAGCCCCGGTAAAGTCATCATGTTCAGCTTTCCCGGATGCTGACTGGACGCGTCACAGGTTTCTGCTGGGGGAACTTTGTCGACAAATGTTAAACTTTTCACCCGCACACCAATGGTGAGAGAGATCTCCCAGCCATTGACATATTTCTCCTGAGCCTTTTTTTACACAGATTTCGGCGCCTGTACGGCAACGGAGCGATTTAAAACTGGCAAATAAAGCACGGGTTGGCGATTGCTTTCTTGGTGAAATAGCTGACTCTCACAATTCTAGCTCGCGTTTGATTCCGTTGCCTGCGTGACGCGATTTCTAACAGCAAATCTACATGTTTTCTTTCGGTTCCGCTGTGCGGATGACACATCATAGCAGACGAACTCTTGTCGTTCGCTCTCGCTTCTCGCCTGAGCGAGGCATGACGGGATTGAATTTTGGCGCACGCTCGATTTTCTCATTGCAGCGTGTGCATGCACGCGTGGAGTGTCGCCACCGAAACGAACTCGGAAAGTGCAGCCACTCATGGAGTCCCGGCCGAAACCAACCCCCACCATGCTGCGAGTGGGCACGCGTGGGCACGAGTGCAGTAAAATGAACTCGCTATAATAAGCCTTGCCCTCGCTGCTCTCGTTTTTCGGAACCAACCCTTCTGGTCGATCCGGGAAAGCGGAGCACCACGTGGTCTCTCCACCCAGGTGTATCCCCTGGAAATTAAATTAGGGGGGGGGGGTCTAAATTTTTAGGGGGAGGGGGTTGGGAGGGGGGCATTGAGAATAGAGGAGTTGTTGTGAATTCAGAAAAACAAGTGGGGTGTACACCCCCCCCCCCCTCCCAACCCTCCACCCTATGGGGTGTCTAGGAAAATCACAGACTCCACGAATCCGGCACCCCCTATTCGCTGCCTCCTTTTATTCCCGGTTGTCCCTACTCTCTCTTTACTCCATGACCCTTGTTGTCACTACTCCTGCTGTTTCGATACTTCAGGCCGATCTGCGACGGCGAGATCCGTGCATCACGTGATCTCTCCACCAATCCCACTCTCCCGACTCCCTACTGCCCGCTCCCGAGGTTGTCCCTACCCTCGCGGCGCCTCTCCGCGCACTCGGGGGCCCCGGGTGCGCTCTCCGCGGAGGCGGCACGGCGCGGCTGGCGGGCCAGTGTGTGGCCTCCGGGGCAGGCTCGCTGGTGCGGTGGATGTGCGGAGGAGCAGCGTCTGCAACGCCGGTGTCCCGGCGTTGTCCGGGCGCGGCCGGTGGCGACGCGGTAGCAGCGGCACGAGCCCCTCGGCGCCCGTGCTGGGCTCTCCCGTGGCCGAGCCCCAGTTCCCGTGGGGTCTCGCCCGGGGGGCCGCCAGGGGCCCCGCCCATGGGCTGGAGCAAGCCCGGACCCCCGGCGCAAGGGCCGCCATGTCGAGGCTCAGCGTGCGCGCGCTGCGGGTGTTGACGCCCGCGTCCGCCGTCGCCTCGCTGGTCGCCAACGCCATCGCCCTGTGTTCCAACAGCTGGCTCCACAGCACCGAGCTCATGCCTAACCCGTACTACAACGGGTCCGGGGACCGGGAGCAGCTCGCCAAGAACACCGTGTCGGGACTCTGGAAGATGTGCTTCAACGAACGTGAGTGGCCGCGTTCTCTCGACATCCCTCCTCCTCTCTCCCCTTTGGGGAGGCGCTCTCGGGCTTCCCGCGTTTCCCTACTCCCCCGCTCTTTGGATTCACCTCGCATCTCGACGACCTGGTCCTGCTCTCGGGGCGGCAGCCACTGATGAGTTGGTGCATCGGGGGCCGCGGGGAACAGCCGAGTGTATGCTTGAATCGTAGAGGCTAAGGCAGACTGCTGCAGGAGGCAGAGAGATACGCAGAAAACGGAAAGGTGTTCCGGTTGACCGTATCTACCGAAAAAAATGTTGCAATCCACGTCTCGAAGGTCAGTCTTCTATGGAAGAGTCTCCCTACAGTTTACCCCTCAGTCCATAGGGGTGATGCCTTGTGCCGAAGAAAACATCCGATTTTAGCGTGTCTAGGCAGCAATTAGCATACCTGCTTCCTTTGTGCTTTTGTGCACTGAATCGACATTTCTCGTTCAAATTCGGCTAAACTAAAGATGCACCTTCGCACTTTTAGCATTTTTCTCGAGATAATTTGGTGTGTTTGTTTTAGACAAGAAATTCCCATGTTAGTCATTAAATCCATTAGCTCTAATGTATTATCAAGCAACCCCAAGATCACCACAGTTTATGGTGAGGCCAGGAAAAAATAGTATGTCGCGGAAACACTATACTTCAGCCGTATTTCAACTTCAACCTGGTAATTCGTTTTGGTCTTTATCGGTTTGCTCGCGTTGATGACAGTTTCTTTTTTTTTTTCAAATTCCCTGTACAATACTGAACTAGGGGAGCAAACAATAAGCGTTCGTGAAAAATATGTGAACCAATGTCGTTTGCAACTTTTGTTCCCGCCCGCAAAGTGGCCACAGAAGGAAGTGCTTTCCTACGTAAAGTACCGCAGAAGGTTGAGCTTTCTTAAAGGTTTTGGTGGGAATGGTTAGCTACCGGTATTCCTAATTAGACTCAGTCATTAAATTTCGCCTGTGACGATCACGAATATTTTTTTGATCTCTTGTCTACGTGTGGGTCATTTTAAGCTCATTATCGTACTAAAAAAAGTAAGAGATAGAACCGTAACTCATAAGCTACTCAAAACGTTTGCATTTCTGATTTCCTTACTCACCGTTTTGAACCGGTTTTCGAAAGCTACATTTCATCTTTCTCTCCGAGTTATTGTAGTGTCGAACTTTAATTGCATACAGTCTTGGACAATGTTAGCCGAAACCGACCAATGCCTGTTTGGAGCCCGTATGCACGCCATATTCATGAGCTTTGCGTAGTCATATGGAACATGTAAGTCTGTTTAGTCAGTGTACATTGTTTTTCAGTAAAGCAAGAACAGTTAGGTTTATGCAGGTATAAGGTGGAAGATCAACAATTACAAGAAAAAATAGTTTTTATTTTGCAACTTCATAACTATAGAACTTAGGACGCCTGATTTTTGTTTTATTTATGTTAACGGAAAAGTATGCTAAAGCCCACCTTGAGATATATTAATAATAAAAATAAACTTGTTTCAGTTATTCAGCACCAGAAAATGTTTTTGTTTCATGACTTATTCTTAAAAGCAGGAGCTACTAGAGATAAGTTTATTTTTTGTTTCTTTGTGAACGTTGTAATTAAACAAATTAAAATTATGCAGAAAAAGAGTACAGTGAGAAGATGTTTGCAAGAGAGAATAATTCAGCGACAAAGCCGTAAACTTGCGGTGTCCAATTATGAAGGTAGCTGACTGTTATTCTCTATAAATTTACTCTTTAAAATCGAAGTGTAATGCTTGCGCTGAGCCGGAATAACCTAGCTTGTAGGTACTATATATATGCTGTATTTATTTTAGTTATAAAACCTCTTCCTCTCCATCGAGATAGATAACTAATTTATATATTTTTTTTCACAGCCGAAGTTCCAGCTAACGATTTCGTTAAGTTCCGCTGCTGCGATGTTTATTACGACGCTTTACGTGACCTTGGGAATATCCTTGGAGGTGGACAGTTAAAAAGGTAAACCAAACGGACTTTGGAGGGTTTACCCCATTTCTCCATGGCGTTATCAGTCGATCTTACACATCCCTCAGTTCATGCACCGCCATATCGCTACAGCTGCGATGATCTACATTAACATCGCTCTTTAACAATGGGATGTTCCCGCGTAGTGATTGGCATTGTTAGTTGTTTTGAGACCGGCACATAGTACCCACGGCGCGCCCTTGGGTCAACTCGACAGTCATGTTCTTGCTTCTGCATGTAATCGTGTTTCAGAGAGGGAAGACGGCACCAATGGGCCTTCTTCGAGTAATGAGTGTTTGCGAACTACAAATGAGGGTCGGCCAAACGTTTCTCAGCTCGTGTGGACACATTGGCATGGTGGCCTTCTATCCGTTTTTATTTATTTTTATGTCCCATGCTACCGATACTGAAAAGGGAATCGACGAAAAAGACCAAACATGCCCGAAGATGTGTGCTGACAATATTAGTCGTGTGGGACGGAGCCCACCGAAAAGGGCTACAGTGGGAAGCAAAGCCGCGAAGACGCTTACTGGGGAAAAGGGTCACTGTACGAAATTTGAGGCTATCCAGTGAGGACCTTCTGCCATTTGGTAGCTATAAACGGCGAAATTTCGTGTCGCCCCGGCGTGGAAAGCAATTCCTCAAGTTATGGTAATCCAAAATGCGTTCTTGGAGACATGAATGCGAATCAGGCATCAAACTTGTCTAGTACCTCATATTATAAATATCACTCACATACGTGAGATCGGGTGTTCTTCGAATAATTGTCGGCCGTGTAGCGAAGTACAGAAGGTCACAAAAAAAAGATACGTTTTTTGTTCGTTTTTTTTTTTTTTTTACTGCAAAAATAAACTAGGCATCGCCGGACGCTCATTCTCCGCCAAAAAGTAGCACTAAAGGTCACAACCAGGTGCCAAAGTTTCAGCCCAATCCGATAGCTCATTCAAAAGTTATAAGCCATTTTCTGAAAAGTTCAATGGGAAAATGGCGGCCGGCGGAGTTTTCGAATGCATGGGGCTCTATGGGCACCAGAAACCGAAAACGGACAAAAATGGGCTCCAGTTTCCCATTGAAAGTTTCAGAAAATCACTTATAACTTTTGAATAAAGTGTGCGTTCGGGCGGAAATTTTGGCATCTGGTTGTGACCTCTAGCGCTACCTTTGGGCGGAGAATAAGCGTAAGGGGATGCGTAGTTTATTTTTGCGGTAAAAAAAAAAAAAAAGAAACCTGAAATTTTTTTTTGTGACACCCTGCATACTATAGTGCTGAACCAGGGGACTGTCTGTGTAATCCCCTCCAGTGCCTTGCAATGGGCGGATCTTGCAACCGCGTAAGATTGGGAATAGACCCGAATGAATGGATGTATTGATCGACGCATGGCGGCTGTTTCCTTTGAATCGAGTGGTGACTTGCGTCACCTACATCTTTGGCAAAGTTTGCGCCATCTAGCGGAGACTTTTCAAGACAATTTCCGGGGTACCTTGTGGCATGCAATGACTTTAATACTCACTAAAGCAAAGCGGACTTATAAAATGTCGTGGTTACTCAGTTTTTTTTTTAATGTGGCATAATTTTTTTTTGTTTTTTATTCCCTACACTACAAAATGGGACAAGAAACGTGTGTTATACATGACCTTTGACTTTTAATTTTTGGCTTTACATAGAGGTGCAAAGTATTCCTATCAAGTTTAGTGATAAAACTTACCAAGTACGTATTTTACGTAGAATTGAATTTGTGGTTAAAACCATGATGGCTTTATAGATTTCTTTTTGTGCGTCACTGAAAACGAGCTCTGAAGTGCGAATTCTGTAGCAACCGGTGTGCGAATGCTGCCGCAACGACACCCTTTCAACTTGCTTGTAAACGCGTGTTCGTAACTTTATGCATGATGTGCTGCAACCCATGACAAGCCCATATATAATGATAGCAGCGCAAGCCTGATTTTGTGGAAAGGAGTGTGGCTTTTCCCTCTTTCCGCGCACCGCCTTGCTTCCAAGAAAAATCCGGTTCTGCGCATGTAAAAAAGAGACTGCCACAAAAACGTGACGAAGGCTCAAATGTCACTATTACAAAACTGACGAAGTTGAGATTCCACGATATAGAAGCCTTATTCAAACACACTACGCCACGCACAGTAATTGATAGTTATCGACGAATTGCCAACCTTTTACAAATTTTCTAAAATATAGATAAAATGAATAAAACTAAAATGTGTCTCTCTACCTACACCACCCAACCGTGCAACAACTTTAAACCAATTAAAAATAAATAATTATAGCCTAATATGACCAGAAAGAAAATATTCATTTATGGCCAATCCGCCAAGAAAAAATAGGGGATACCACGAAGTCACAGGTATTGGAATGGACCTGAAACGAATCAGTGCGGGCGTTCACTTATAAAAAAAGAAAAATATTTGTATGTATCAATACCTAGGTTTGGGGGGGGGGGGGGGGTGAGAGCAAAAGAGGCTTCGTGCTTCCTAGCTGGTGGACGGCGGCGACAGAGGTTTGTGTTCAAGACGTTTATTCTGAAGAGAGGAATATTGCATATAAATTATTATTTAGTGTGTTATGGCTTTCCTATGATATGTAGTGAAGAATTTACTTGTATTCAACTAATATATATATATTTTTTTTTACTTTGGAGTGTCGGGGGAGGAGAATGGGGTATATAATATTAACCGAGATATGTATTGCCAACAGTGAAGAATTGACAAACGTCGCCATTTTGAGCGATCTCGGGTAGCTTTCAGCATGAATTATATAGCTACATAGATGTTTAAGGTCCCTCGTCTTCCGGTCAAATAGTACTCGTGTCATTTGGTCGATCGTGAAGTTATCAGTAACTGCAGCCGAACTCCTGTTGTTTAGCTGTACATCGGCAGCAGCCTCCCTCGCACTCGCTACTGGGACGGCCGCCAAATCAATGGCGGCGCTGTCGTCAATCAGAGTCGCGTCATGTAGTTTTCAATATTGTTAAACGCAACGGCCTACGATGAC